CAATTATTTTTGAAAATTGAAATTAATAAATACATTTTGATATTTAAATTATAAAAAATACAATTTACACTAAAAAAAAAAAAAAACATCTTTCTCCTCTCGTGATAAAAAAAAGTTCTGATTTTTCGCAAAAGCAAATTTCTTGGTGGGTAGTTGGCAGATCATCAAGTTCCACGCCCACCGTGTCTTCCTACTTTTGGTCAGAACAACACAGCAAACCTGCACTCCTTCACACCAAATCCAAACCCCAAGGAACCAACTTTCTCCTTCAGTCCTTCTTCCGGGGCGGAAGGCACAATGTTTCCCATAAGTAGATCTAATTTGTCGCACGAAGGTTTGGTAACGCCAACGCTCATAGCTTAAATCTTGGCATTGAGATTTCACACTACAAAGAAACTTTCTTCGTTCCGAAATTTCACTGCCGTAGTCCTCTTTAGCATTTATTATATCCACTCAAAAAGGAAAAAAATTGTATCCCAATTCTTCATTTCGACCCGACCCACCAAAATTTTTCCTTTTTTTTTTTTCTTTCTCAATTTTCTTTGTAGATCGTTTCTTTTATCATTGTGATCATCGTTCATAAAGTGTTTTCCTTCGTTTTCTGTAAGAAAAGAGTCGTGAATTACCAAGTTTCCTTGGTGGGTTTTTCAAAGGTTTGATTTTTTTTTTTTTCTTTGGTATTGTTCTCTTGGTCAGGAGTTGTAGTTTTGTTTGATAATTATTTGTGATTTTGTCTGAAAAAATGATCTGCACGATCAAGCAGTCAGCTTTAGCTAGGTGCGTTAATGGGTTGGGGTCAGATTCGCTTCTTCAACGGAGAACGGCCTACCCAATTCGTCGATCTTCCTTCTTACCTCCTCTTGAGGCTCAGAGTCTCCCTAAGAGCTCGCTTTCTGTGTCGAAACCGTTGCATGTCTCTTCAATTGATGGGCTTGGGTTGGTAAAACCACTGAAATCGGAGATCAGATGCAACGCTTATGAGGCTGACCGATCGCAGCCGGTGGAGGCACAGGATGCCAAATTGGAAGCTGCGAAGAGGGTCAAGATTGGGATTTACTTTGCGACTTGGTGGGCTTTGAACGTGGTGTTCAATATCTATAACAAAAAGGTCTTGAATGCCTATCCGTATCCATGGTTGACTTCGACCCTGTCTCTTGCTTGTGGGTCTCTGATGATGTTGATCTCCTGGGCTACTAGGATCGCTGAGGCGCCAAAGACCGATTTCGAGTTCTGGAAGACCTTGTTTCCGGTGAGTGATTTTGGGTTTTGTTTGGTTGGTGAGAAAGTGAGGGAAAGTGAGAGGAATGGTTTTTTGGGTTTTGGTTTTCTGGATTATTATTTTTAAAAAAAATTATCATATTTTCTGTTGCTTTTATTGAAATTTTGTTTGTTTCTTGAGAAAATGAGGAGATGGAAGCATTAAACTTGTGATCATGTGTTTTGTGTTGTTTTGACCTGAGGATAAGCGGTAATGTTTTGTTCTATTGTGGTTTGAGAAAACTACAGCTTGTCTGAATGCTGAAGGGATGAGTTTGATGAAAATTGGAAAAATAATGAAGACAATATTAAATTGTGTTTTTGCTCATAATTCATTGGATCTCACTCTCATTAATTTTCCTACCTTTGCTCCTGGTGATTTCTGTGTTTCTTGCTTTTCTCACTTTGTGCTTCATTTTGGAAATTTCTGGGTTTTGTTTATACTAGGTTGCTGTGGCTCATACAATTGGACATGTAGCAGCAACAGTGAGTATGTCAAAAGTTGCAGTTTCATTTACCCACATTATCAAAAGTGGTGAGCCTGCTTTCAGCGTCCTGGTTTCAAGGTTCCTCCTTGGAGAGACCTTCCCTGCTGGTGTTTACCTGTCCCTTGTTCCAATCATTGGTGGTTGTGCTCTTGCTGCCGTGACTGAACTCAACTTCAACATGACTGGTAATTAAACAAAATCACTTATATCTTCTACTTTGTATGTCTTTGTTATTAATTTTATGGTGTTTTGTTGATGAGAGATGGCTGTGAAATGACTGGAAAATGAAAATTCTTACTAGATATGCTTTCTTGGGATGAAGTGCTCATTATTTACTCACTCATTTCTTAACATAATTCTCTCCATAAACTCACTTTTCTAGCAACTAAAAGCCGAAAAGATTCAGTTCTTTTTCTTAATTTTGAACTTAAGATGTCAAGCCAGTTTCAATACAATCTATAGGAACTGTGTATTCACACTTTGAAATATTTACATCAGGAGAGGAGGATAATTGGGGATCAGATGTAATGTGGATAATTTTACCTTTCAGTTTTCTATTCAGAAATCAGAATTCTAAACTTTTGATTCTTGGTTATCTTTTACAGGTTTTATGGGGGCTATGATATCAAACCTCGCATTTGTCTTCCGCAACATATTTTCAAAGAGAGGAATGAAGGGGAAATCTGTTAGTGGGATGAACTACTATGCCTGCCTATCTATGTTATCTCTCTTAATTCTTACTCCTTTTGCAATCGCGGTAGAGGGACCGCAAATGTGGGCAGCAGGATGGCAAAAAGCCATTTCTGAAATTGGACCACATTTTATTTGGTAAACACATGTTGGCTACCAACTTTGAATTCTTTGACTTTTTTCACTTCTTGTTGTCTGTTTGTGATTGTTCCCTGTGGTATCTACATTGAAGTACTAGGTTTATTTCTTTGGAAAATATAAACTCCTCTATATTAGAATGGTGGCTTAGGCATCACGATGAGGGAGATGGGCTTTAAGGGTTCTAGCAATCTAAAGCTTTCTCTGATTTAGAGTTGTAGTCATGTACATGGTTCATAAAATTTGTGCTCATGTTTCAAGATAAAACCATAAACTATGTGGCTCAACATTTGTGGCTGTTGTTCTATTGTTAGGTGGGTGGCAGCTCAAAGTGTGTTCTACCATCTCTACAACCAGGTGTCATATATGTCTCTTGACCAGATATCTCCATTGACATTCAGCATCGGAAACACCATGAAGCGTATATCTGTCATAGTCTCATCCATCATCATATTCCACACACCAGTTCGACCTGTCAATGCTTTGGGTGCTGCAATCGCAATCCTCGGAACCTTCTTGTATTCCCAGGTATTGTTATCTTATTTATGTACTGAGTATTACTCTTTCTTTTGAGAAGATTTTATGCTCATAAGATTGATACTAAGTCCAGATACACTAAGCAGATACATGGACCATTTTGTTTTTCTGAATTGTGAATATGACTTTGTTGTCATTTCTTGAAAATACTTTAAGCACGGATAAGGAATATCCTCAACTCATAATTGTAATAAGGACTGCAATCTGAAAGTTATTATGCTTGCTTTGCATTTCTGATGGTATCTTCAATTTAGTGTGACTACTTTGATTACCATTTCCAGGATCATTTTGTTGTAGACTAGTGATTTAGCAGATGAATGAGCAGTAAAATCTGCTGGTCTCCTAGGAGAATTATATCCCTTGTTTTGATACATCAGAAGTTAGCTGCTTGGCATTGTAGAGGTTTGAACCTCTGACCTTAACCCCAAATCAAGGCTTTTATGTTAGTGGGTGCCAACTCGGCTAACTCTTGTTGGTAAATTTTATCCCTGTTGTTGGTATTCAGGTTTGTTAGTTCCACCTACCCAACCTGACGGGACTACTATGGTATTAGGTGGTCTTGGATCTCAATCTAGTAGTTGGACCGTCCCATGTTCACCTAACTTAAGGCGTCTAACGAAATCCAATGTCTGTTATTCCTCATGGCTTAGTCAAAGGTTCTTTAATTAGATTAATCTTTGCATAATAAGCTACCTTTCATGATTTTATATTACTATTGCTTTGCTCCTTTCTGTATAAACTTACCAAGACATGTTCAGATTGAGAATAATTAGTTGCCGCAAAAGTAAATCCTAATCTCGTGCACCCTTTTGCAGGCAAAGCCGTGAGGAACCTGGGGTTCGAGAATTTTGCTCCATTATGTAGCGTACGTTATGAAAGAGAAGTTAGTATCGGTGGTTTCTTTGTTTCGGGATCTATGATTGCTGGATTTTGGCAGATGTAGTGGCAGCAGATCATGCTGTAGATGATGATAATAATGGTTCATAAACAACTTCATAAATATTATTACTAGGCAGGTTTTTTTTCTTCAAATGTTGGTGGGGGGCTGGAGGGGAAAACAATGTTTGAAATAAACAAGGGTTGTGCTGCAGACCTTGTCCCTTTCAGCTGACATGAATAACGACAATGTGGACAATGTTGTTTGTTACAAAAAAATCATTTTTAAATTATTGGTTTTGGTGCTATTCTAAAGGAATGAATGGACAGGAGATCTTGCTGGTATGGTGCTGTGCTTGTGCTTTGGTGTACGTTGAAATCTAAGTACAAAAAAGTATTGGAAAAAGATGCCATCAGGCATCAGGTGCCCATGCCTCTTCGTTAACTGAAAGGTTGGATTTTCCTCCAGCCGAATAAAGATTAACTGAACTAAATATTATTATTATTATTTTTAGATTTAGTGGTTAAAGTATCTCTAAACTAACTTGTATTCACTTCAAAATAAATATATCTCTAATTTGGTCAAAGATACTCATTAACACTAGCATTAAGGAATTCATGGGGGGAACAAGCCAAGGTGACTTGCCTCTGACTAGAATGGTTTTAGGTGAATCGTTGATTAATACACGCAACTTGGTTTTTAGGATATCAAGCTATTCACCAGTGAGGGTGATTTAATGCTATATGTCCCCATCCAACTAGATTATGTCGGACATTAGTTCTCTTACATATAACAACCAAAGCTTATTATACAGACAGGGAACTCCAAAAACATCTGAAATAACACATTTATTTATTGAGTTGAATGACGAAAAACTGACAGCAACCATCATCAAAATTAAACCTGCAAATGCTTGATTGCAGTATGAACATCCTTATCACCCCTGCCACTGCAGTTAACCACAACTTTAGCTCCATTTGGCAGCGTTGGACACAGCTTCTCCAAATAAGCCAGTGCATGAGAGGTCTCCAGAGCGGGGATGATGCCCTCCAGTCGAGACAATCTCTTGAAAGCTGCATGTAAATTAGTACGAATGAGAATTGAAAAGAAAGGTTGATGCATGAAGCAAATCTGTAACGACCTCTCTCAAACAATAGACCCAATTTTGAGGTGCATATAAGATATTAACAAAAGCTTCTGGGCTGCCAGTCATTTTTCTGGCACCAAAGTAAGTAGCTAAGAATGTGGCTAACATTCAAAAATTGCTTGAGGCAGCATTCAATTGCACTAAGAAAAGGGATGAAGCCTTGAAAAGAGAAGCTCCACAAAATAAGCAACAGACAGTTAACATAATCAAATGTGGCTAGATTGAGGCCTTCAAAAGAAAATTTAAACACATTGTCCTACCTTCCAGTGCTTCATCATCAGTTACACTGTGATATTCAGCACGCCCAACATCTTTCAGGAAACTGTGTTCGGGTCCAACACCAGGATAATCCAAGCTGAATGACATAGTGAAAGGTCAAAGGTTGTCATTGAAATAAAATGGAACTAGCCTTGAAAACTAAAATAGAGACAAACAAAACAATAGATAAAGATCTACCCTGCACTGATAGAATGAGGCTCGATTATTTGCCCATCATCATCCTGCAGTAAATAGCTCATAGCTCCATGTAGCACTCCAACTTCCCCTTTGGTCAAAGTAGCAGCATGCTTGCCGCTATCCAAACCAAAACCTGCAGCCTCCACGCCAACAAACCTAACATCCTTGTCATCAACAAACTCATGGAAAAGTCCCATGGCATTTGAACCTCCACCAACACAAGCAACCAATACATCTGGTTTTCCTCCCCATTTTTCCAATGCTTGTCTCCTTGTTTCTTTACCAATCACAGCATGGAAGTCTCTAACCATCATAGGGTACGGATGTGGCCCAGCAACAGATCCCAGGATATAATGGGTTGTCTCAACATTAGTCACCCAATCCCTTATAGCCTCTGAGGTAGCATCCTTTAGTGTTGCAGTACCTGAATGGACTCCTCTAACCTATTTTATGTTAAAATGAGAAGAAAAAGAGAAGCATTTAGTATTAAAGTATAAGTTAAACAAACTTAACAGAAAGCAATTTATTTCACAGATGGTTGTCTTAATTTGTGGCAACCCTAAAGCAATGCCACAAAAAATGGCTTGAGAAAATTGAGGGAAAATCTCCACATATCTGAAAGAAGATAAGCACCATGAAGAAATACAGGATAAAAGTATAATATAATGTGTATACCTCAGCACCTAGAAGACGCATTCTAAACACATTAAGTGCCTGCCTTTCCATATCTTGAGCACCCATGTAAACAACGCAGGGCAAACCAAACCTTGCACACACAGTGGCGGTGGCAACACCATGTTGACCAGCCCCAGTTTCAGCAATGATTCGCTTTTTGCCCAAACGTTTAGCCAGCAAAGCTTGGGCAATAGCATTGTTAATTTTGTGAGCACCCGTATGGTTAAGATCCTCCCTTTTTAGGTATATGTGTGGCCCTTCACCATTGG